TACTAGTTTGCTGTGTGACCTTGGGCCAGTGCTTTCCTCTCTGGACTCCAATTTCCTTGCAAATCAGAGTTTCATAGTTCTTTTTAAATCAGGGGGGATGATTCAAAACCTCTAGTGCCCCAACCCAGACCTGTTCAATCAGATCTCTGGTGGTGTCACCCAGGCCTTGGTATGCTTAAAACTCCTTCCTGGTAATTCTGTACAACCAGGATTGAGAAACCACTAATCTGGTGTAAATGTCTCATTCCCAGCTCTAAGGCCAACCGCTTTACTTAGGGCCAGTTACCGTGGGAACAAAACCATAAAGGGCAAGGAAGGCAGTCGGCCAAGTGGAACTCATGTCTTTAACTCTAGGGTTACCGTACATGCCAGGTGCTGGGAACATAATGATGCACAGATAGTAGGTGCTGTTCATTGGTTTGAGGTTGCAAGTATGTACAGCTGGCACGGGGGAACGTGCATTTGCTGAACACCCGGGCTGCAGTCCAGGCTCTTTACAAACAGTATTCAGTAATCGTGAGGTGGGCATCAGTGGCATTCACAGTTTACAGGTGAGCACACCTGAGGCTCAGAGCAATTGGTCTGAACCTCTATATCCAGCACGTGGCCGGGCCTGAATTCAAACCCACCTCTGCCTGACTCTCAAGCTCTTGATGGAAAAGTAGTCCCTCCCCAAGTCAAGAGGACGTAGAGAAAACCTGGGATCATTGTGGAGGACAGTGGTGGCCATGGTTTTTGTCTGACTATCATGGTTGTTTCTACTCTACTTCTGATTTTTTTTTTTTTATGAGGGAAGTGGCTGTCAATTGTGGGACCTGATTGTAGAGGTGGTCACATGATACAAACCAACCAGTCAGACCAAACTCTCCCTTTGGTCACAGTGATTAGTTCAGGGATAAACACATGCTCCATAAATGGCCAATCAGAATCTTCCCTGGGATTGATATACGAACACTGAGCTGGAGTGAAGGTTTTTTTGTGTTGGGGTTGCTAAGGTGGGATGCTATGAGTATAAGGTTGCAAGGGACCATCAAACCTGACCCCTGGAAAGAGAGTGTGTGCAAAATTGGGCCAAGCAGAGCTAAATCAGTGGTTCTTAAACATCTGAATGTATCAGAATTACCTGGAGAGTTTATTAAAACCCAGATTTCTGGGCCCAACTCCCATAGAGTCAGTAGGTTGTGGGTAGGGCCTGAGAATGTACATTTCTAACCGGCTCTCAGGCAATTCTCTGCTGGCCCAGGGCCACACTTTGAGAACCATAGAGCCTCCGGAAGAGCAGGAGCCTCCAGAAGAGCATTCTGGATGCCCGGATCCCCCCTAGCAGCACTGTGGCCGTGGAGGCAAGCAGCCCTATAGCTGCAGAAAGAGAGGGTGTCAGAGCATGAGGGC